CCCCCCCAGACCAACACCAATGGCATTTTAAAACATCATGGTTTTGAAATGAAACTTACAGAGCAAAAGCATTTTACCCAACAACACCATGTGGTAACGATTAAGCCCTCACAGCAAATGTCCTGGAAAGATTTCCTAGAGTGTTTTCCACAAAGGGCCTATTGAGTTTAAGTTGCTGTAAAACCACTGACGTTTAAAATAGTGGCACTTCTTTTAATTCAAATTCAAATAACATTTGATGAATTTAGAGTACTACTTATACTAAAGGATTCAATATTTTACAGTAACATTATTTATGCTATATTTTTTGACAGTGAGAAATTTAAAGCCAAAGCTAATGGCATGATGGTGTACTGTTTTATTGGATGTAGAGTTGACAAGACTATTATTAATGTGAATGACAACATTTAATAGGCTACTACAGTTCTACAAATCACCATCAGAGAAATGAAAATTGTTTGACATTTTTAAATGAAAGGGTTACTTTAATACATTACATTCTGATCACTAATGCGGTGCTGACTGCCTTTTAAATGAAAGAGTAATTTACGTGTTTATTTATATATTTACTTTTACATGTTGGTTAGGATATCATTTGCATAATGTCCTTTAAACAAGCCAGCCTGGCAAAAGGAAACACGATCCTCCTCCGAACAGACTATAAATGGCCTGGGAGCAACGTGACACAATTCAGCGAAAGGAATATTCAAAGGGCACATGAGGCATACATTCAGACCCGTTACCATTATGTATTTTTTTTTACAATCAAATTACAAATAATTCAAAATGTTCACCATAATATATAAACTTGATCAAGAATGTGCTTAGTACACAATGTTCCAATGCGCACACAGTGTGTTTTCTTGTGCGTAAAAGTAACGAAGTGGATTATTTTATTTAAAAGTACTTGTAACAACAAAAATGCAATTTTTATAACTTGTTAATTATTCAAGTGTATTTCAAAATCGAATACCTGTGCATTACCCATTCCCAACTGCTGTTGGAACTTGGTTATCCTAAGTTGCATTGCATTGACTGTCTCTGTTAGACTGTCGATGGTTTGCTGCTGCTGGCTGCAGAACCAGACTGCCGTTGATCCCCCGACAGCGAAAATAAAGAAAACAATGGCAGGGACTGCATATTCTTTAAATCCCCTCGGTGGTGTTACGGATGGCGTCTCCAAGAGCAGCAAACTGTCGTCCTGTTTATTGGTACTTTTTCCTTTGCGTTTGGTCATCTTGGCTTCGCGGATGATCTGCACTGTAGACCGTAACACTCCCCCTTACTTGGTGATTTGGTTAGCTCTCTACTACCAGACCTCAACGCGGTATTGGGCCACAACGAAGGGGAATAATCAAAAGAGAACTTTCAAGCACGAGGAGCGTGAGTAGGGGGCGTTGTGCACTGAGAGGCGGTCTCAATTTCATGGCGCTGTGCGGCACGTACAAACTTACCCAATGTTTCAGTTTTTCAGATCTATCTATCTATCTATCTATCTATCTATCTATCTATCTATCATGTATATACTCTATCTATCCTGATACTGATGGGAAAATGCATCTCATTTTCATATTTATTTTTTTACTTTTTGTTTTTATGTTGTATACTTGTAACATAAAATGTATATACTCTATCCTGATACTGATGGTAATATCTATCTATCAATTTATCTATCTATCTATCTATCGATCTATCTATCAATCAATCAATCAATCAATCAATCAATCAATCAATCAATCTATCTATCTATCTATCTATCTATCTATCTATCTATCTATCTATCTATCTATCTATCTATCTATCTATCTATCCTGATACTGATCCTTAGATCTGGTCAGTAGGCCTCTATATTATAAAATAATTAGCTTAAATATTAAGAACATTGTGCAGTTTAATTTGATTTCTCTTACTCTATTTTGCAGACTCTCTAAAACTTTCAGACTGGTTGATGAAATCTCTCTTCAGATTTTCAGCAGAGATATGAAGACTTTGGTTAGGCCGTTCAAGGATGAGAATTACATTGCACTATTTATTTGGCTCCAGGAGTCTTGGTGGGTCCAAACTTCTTTCATTTTACAATGATGAATGTTATGAAACTTTGCATCTGGCTATCAATAGAGTTTTATTGAATGTAACCATAACTAATGGCTATATCTTTGCCTGACATCTAGACTGCTGTGACTTTATACACTATTGTCACAGACGTCTTTTAGTTTTTGAGACAACTCAAGGTAACCTGATGCTTCTAAAGAAATGAAACATGATTCTTCTTAGCTGATACATAGATAGACAGACAGACTGACAGACAGATCATTCAATACATATATGTTGAGATATATTTTTATTTCTTCCTTCTTTTTATTTTATTTTTTATTTAAGATCACATCAACTATTACATTTATTTCACTTTCAAGAAATATGATCACAGACTGTGTTGTTTGAAGTTTCTTTACTCTGTAAAACAAGAAAACTGAAAAGTAGTAGTTGTTGCCTAAAAGTTAAAATCATATGAATGATAAACCTCATATCTAAAACATTAACCAAAATATGTTAATTAATATTAAAATAGAAGATATACCTTTGACTATAAGTTTGGTGGAGCACTCATCATGACCAAGGGGGCTTTCGGCTACAACCTTGTACTCTCCCATGTCTTTGGGTCCAACCCTCAGGATGAGCAGTGAACAAACACCACACACGTTTGTGATGTAGTAGTTGGGGTTTGTGTTGAGGCTGACATTATTATGGTACCAGGTAATATGTGGGGTTGGGTTGCCCGTCACAGCACAGCTCATATAGCACTCATAACCTGGCGGAGCAGCGTGAAGTTTCAAAGGAACAATAAATTTCGGGGCTGCCTGGAAGTCGAGGGTCTTTGATACAGGCATGCTATATGTGAATTTTTCTGAAAGAGATGAAAAAATGGCAAAAAAGTGATTATTTAGTTGTAGTAGTGTCCATTTTTGGTCACCTCACATTATGCATCACAATTATCTGTTTGTGCATCTGGGTTATAATGCCCAAGTGAAGGTACAATATAAGCTGGAGGGCTGTGAGCAATTTATGAAGCATATGAAGTGCGCACCATCACTTGCAAAACAATTATCCAGAGCTACTGTAATAGGCCACCATGTACTGTACTGCAGCAGTCAACCTTATAGGAACAACATTTTCAGAACAAGGAGGAAATAGTTTAGTGGTGATGTGTCAGGGACAGCATCACAAATCCCAGAAGTATAAACCTGGTTAAGGGTGACCCATAAATAGAGTTTCATAGATCTTCTATCATCACTGTGCCCTTGAGCAAGACACTTATCTCTGACTTCTCCAAGGGACTCACTGCAATTAGTGTTCTGTAAATTGCTTTGGGAAAAGGTGTCTGTTAAATGGCAAGTAGCCTAGACCACTGCACTGCTGGTTGTAATGCAGTCGAGACCATTGATTGTCCAAACGTAATTTGTTTTGGTTCATAATGATACTATGGATTATTTTTCATCACTAACAAGATTTTAGATTGAAATTTATATGAATATATTTTACATTTAAATGTCCCAGAGGCAATGCTGTCAAAAAGGGATAGTTGGACCAAAAATGAAAAATCCATTGACAATCCTTGACTTGTTCCAAAACTGCATGAGTTTCTTCCCTCTGTTGAACACAAAAGAAGATATTTTGAAGAATGCTGGCAATCATACAGTTGATGGTAGCCATTGACTTCCATAGTATTTTTTTTTCTCCATACTATGAAAGTCAATGGCTAACATCAACTGTTGTTTATCAGCATTACCAACATATCTTCTTTTGAGTTCAACAGAAGAAAGAAACTACAGGTTTGAACAACCCGAGGGTGAGTAAATGATGAAAGAATTTAAATTTTTAGGCAATTAGTAAATATATAATAGTATATATATATATAATTAATTAATTTTACATTAAACATTTAGAATACTGGAAAATATAAATATGATTTTTTTAAAATATATTTTAAATAAACTAAACAAAAAACTCAATAAAATCATCCACAAACCTCTTTTTTTGGTGGTTCCCCATACTGGAGACACTGAGGGCTCTGAGAGGCCTATATCATTCTTGGCAAACACTCTGAAATAGTACTCTCTTCCTGGCAAGATGTTAATGACTGTGAATTTGTTGTTGAACAAGCAGTCAACCAGTGTAAGCCATGTTTGCTTGACAGAGTCCCGCTTCATCACCATGTAGTGCAGATGGTTGTCTCGTTTCTCATCGGGAGAAGGAGTCCATGACAGAGTCACAGTGCCTTGGATATGCTGTTCCAGTTCTACAGGACCTGGAGGCTTGGGATCATCTGGAGATGAAAAATAAACAAATACGCATATAGAATCACTATATTATTCTATACTATATATAGTAGCATATATAATAGTATATATATATATATAATTAATTAATTTTACATTAAACATTTAGAATACTGGAAAATATAAATATGATTTTTTAAAAATATATTTTAAATAAACTAAACAAAAAACTCAATAAAATCATCCACAAACCTCTTTTTTTGGTGGTTCCCCATACTGGAGACACTGAAGGCTCTGAGAGGCCTATATCATTCTTGGCAAACACTCTGAAATAGTACTCTCTTCCTGGCAAGATGTTAATGACTGTGAATTTGTTGTTGAACAAGCAGTCAACCAGTGTAAGCCATGTTTGCTTGACAGAGTCCCGCTTCATCACCATGTAGTGCAGATGGTTGTCTCGTTTCTCATCGGGAGAAGGAGTCCATGACAGAGTCACAGTGCCTTGGATATGCTGTTCCAGTTCTACAGGACCTGGAGGCTTGGGATCATCTGGAGATGAAAAATAAACAAATACGCATATAGAATCACTATATTATTCTATACTATATATAGTAGCATTAGAACCATACCATGGGTTTTGATATTCACATAAAAATTAAATGTATTTTTATTTTTTACATTAATTTGATATATTGTTGCCATTTAAAAAAATATTAAGTACTATTTAGAAATATTACTAAAATGACATGTCCTTAACATTAGTTAAGATTTAGGTAAGAAATTTAAGGAGTTTGGTTACCAGTGACTCTTATTTCAATAGTGAAGGTGTCCTGGCCCACCATATTCTTCACATTGACAGTATAAATGCCAGTGTCAGACTGCTCTGAGGTGTAAATAAATAGCTGAGAACCTTTTTCAAAATTAGTAATTGTCACATGTTTGGCTACAGGAACACCATTCTTTAGCCATGTTATGTCTGGTAAAGGAGAGGCCTGTGGATAAAATAAAACAAATACTCAGTCCTGATATACAGTATTATACAAAAGGAGTGTTAATATTTTGTCACGTGTGAATATGCTTTTGGTAAAATAAGATATATTTTGATACCCTACCTCAAAACTGACACTGACACGAACAGTGTTTCCAGCTTTAACAACCATGAAACTTTTCATTTTTTTGTCAGTGAACTTTGGCTTTACTAAAAAATAAAAAGAGCCAGATTAATTTATCTTTGTGTGAAATTTAAAGCTAAAAGTCAAAGATATTCAAAACAACAACAACAACAACACAAAACCCCCCCAAGATTCTTTACCTGGAGGAGGCATGGCAATGATGTAATTGTCAAAGCTCTGTGGAAGCCCCTCTCCTCCTTCATTGACAGCGATCACTCTAACCCAATACATGACCATTGACTTCAATCCCACAGCAGTGAAGGAAGTCTGAATCACTGCGTTTGTATTGCAACGGCTCCACTCAAGTTGATCTGTGGGTCTGATTTCCACAAAATAGCCTTTTGCTTCATCTTCCTCACCTTTGACTTCCTTAGGTTTAGTCCAGGAAAGAGATAGACTGGTGTAGCTCGATCCAGTAATTTTGAGGTCTTTAACCTTACCAGGAGGCTCTGGGGAAAGTAACATAACAAATATTTGCTTAAAAATTCTAGATATTTGTGTACTCTATCTGGCAAGTCACCATTTCAGTATAGAGTGGTATTGAGTATAAATTTGTTGAGCATGTCTTACTTTTGGGGTCCCTTGCAATTGCACATTCAGACGGCCCACTTGGTTCCCCAGGCCCGCATGTGTTAATAGCGCTCACTCTGAACTCATACTCCACACCTTCGATTACATCTTTTACTGCATATTTTTTGTCTAAATATGAAATGAAAACATTAAAATTGTGCTGTATTTCAAATGAGAGAAAAACACTTTCTAGCTACTTTAGCTACTTTAATTAAAATTCTATTAAATTAATATTTTATTTAAATTATATATAAATTAATTTAATACCTCGGATTGGATCATCTTTTGGGTTTGCTTGACTCCAAAAATTGCTACCTTTTTTGCGTTTTTCAACATTATATCCAATGATACTGCCCCCTCCAGTGCTGGAGGGAGAAAGCCAGGCCAAGTTAATGCAGTCTTTAAAGGCACTGACTATTTTAGGAGGAGCAGGAGAGCCAGGGAATGCTGAGAACAAAAAGAACACATTTTATTATGTATAAACCACACTTCCTTTTCTAAAAACTAGCAACTGATAATTTACTACATCAAAATACAGAAAGAAATCAGTAATCTCACCCAAAGTGCCAGCAGCAATATCATTAGTTGTCAAGACTTCACTGAAGCCCTCCAAGTTTTTTGCCCGGATTCTGTAACAGTACTTTCGGCCACGATCTATGTTTGTGTCTCTGTAGGTAGGCTGTCCAGGAATGTCTCCGATTTTAGTCCAGGTGTTCCGTCCCAGCTGCTGTCGCTCCAGGTTGTAATTAGTCACTGGACAACCACCATCATTCTTTGGGGGTCTCCATTTAAACTCAATGGCAGACAAGGAGCTTTCTACGATTTCTACAGGTCCTTGTGGTGGAGTTGGCCTGTCTGGAAAAACAAAAAAATATATATAGAGTACTGATGGGTCACAAAGGTAGAACCATTGATTAGTCATCCAACAACCAAACAGTTAAATCAGTTAATCTCAGATTTTTTGTTCTTTTGTAGTTTTGATATTTTTAGTGATGGTTCTTTAATTAGCATGCAAACAGCTATAGCATTCTAAGAGATGTGTGCTACAGCTATAAATAAAACACAGACAGATGTCTTTGACTGTTGCATAGATATATGTAGATTTAATATTCTTCTAAAATATGCTTTCACAGATAATTTTTTGCAGTTTAGACATTTTCTTAATATTAAGTTTGCAATACATACCAAGTACTGTAAGTTTGGAAGTTGCCTCCACAGTGGCAAATTCATTCTTGATTTTGATTTTTATCTCTCCAGTGTCTTTGCGCTGACACTTAGTAAGAAGTAGACGGCTATGAGTGGAAGACTTTTCAATCCTGACACCGTGACCCTCCAGCAACTCTTCGTTCTCTTTAAACCACTGAATCTTAATTGGTTCTTTGCCTGAAAATGGTAGTTTGAAGGAAGCATTTTCTCCTGCTTTGACAATAACAGGCTCTGAGAATTTACTCAAGGCATCTGCATCAATTTTGGGTGGATCTGAAGAAATGAGAGGAAAGAAAATTTGTAATTGCTTTACTATAAACCAGGGCTGGGTGGTACAGTAGAGGTTTTGTTTATTCACAGGCAAGAATAAACTACCACACAGCATGCCTCTTTTATGGGTCGGATGTTAATACATTACATTTTACAGAAAGCATCGTATTTTGAAGTGAAGCATCAAAAGAGAATATCTGAAAAAAGGTTATTATAATCACCTGATACCTTTGCCCTACCATAGAGCTTACACTGGCAAATAATGTAAATAATCGATTATGGCTCCTACAAAATTAAATGCATTTTACTACCAATTTTATGTTGACATGCAAAGAGAAAAGCAGAAAACACACCTACCCTTAACATTTAGTGCAGCCTCTGATTTACGTCCTTCTGCCTCAAACTTATATTTTCCAGCATCTCTTTCTTGGCAGTCATTGATGATTAGTTTGTGGTAAGCCCCATCTTTGACAATTTTAATTCCATCCTTTGACTCCAACTGATGTAAAAGAAAAAAATGCATTTAATTTTTGTAATGCATGATATATCCACTAACGGCCAAAAGTTAAGATTAACTAGGATTTTTAAAAATGTTTTGAAACTGTCTTTGATGCTCACTAAGGTTGCATTTATTTGAACACATAAACAGTAAAAACTGTGATATTGTGAAATATTATTACAATTTAAAATCTATTGAATATGATTTGTAAAATGTGATTAATTCCTGTAATGGCAAAGCTGAATTTTCAGCAGCCATTATTCCAGACTTCATTAGAAAATTCAGTTTGGCCTCTTACAGGAATAATCACATTTTAAATATATTACAATAGATAACATTATATATACTGAAATTGGTTGACAAATATGGATACATATAATACATTTCTGTACATTATAACCTTTTTTCCATCTTTGTACCATAATCCATTGCTATCTTCACTGCTAAGTTTGCAGGACAACTCTGCTGATTCTCCAACATTGGCTGCAGTATCTGACAACCCGTTCAGGAAGTGGACTCCATGGTCTGGATAAAAGTGCACAGGAAATATGTCAGATTACATTGTTTCAGCACTGAGAAACAGGTGACTTTATATTAATGTGGAATTTCAGACATGAACGCATACCTATGATGTTGTTAGGAATCAGCTCACCGACTCTTGTACGCTTCTTGTCACCTGACCCGTCTCTACCTGATCCATCTAAATCCAATCCATCACCTTTTCCATGACTTCCACTCCCATCTCCTAACCCATTTACCAAGGTACCATTTCTTCCTTTTCCGTTCTTCCCCGTTCCATCACCCTCACTCACATCTCCCAGGCTAGATCCTCCACTGCCTTTTCCTGCTGCCATAGCTGCCATCCTTTCAGCAGCTTCTCTCTCGGCCTTGGCCTTCCTGGCTGCCTCATCTCTTTCAGCTTGGGCTCTACAGGCCGCCTCATCTCTTTCAGCTTGGGCCCTCCTGGCCGCCTCATCTAGTTCTTCCCAAGCTTTTCTGGCTGCCTCATCTCGCTCGGCCTTTGCCTTCCTAGCCACCTCATCTTGTTCGGCCTGAACCCTTCTGGCTGCCTCATCTCTTTCAGACTGGGCCCTCCTGGCCGCTTCATCTTTTTCAGCCTGGGCCTTCCTCGCTGCCTCATCTCTTTCAGCCTGGGCCTTCCTGGCTGTTTCATCTTTTTCAGCCTGTGCCCTCCTGGCCGCCTCGTCCTTTTCCCTCTGCAGTCTGGCTTTCTCTTCTGCTAAACGTCTGGCTAGTTCATCTGCACCATCATCTTTCCCGCGGGCACTGGGATCATCTGAAATCAGTATCAGTTACAGTATATACTATAAGTGATATACAGTGATCAGACAAAATTCAGTATTGTAAAATTGGCAATTTTGGGTGTTTTGTGTTTCCATCTGGTAAGCCTGCTTGATTTTGTTTGGCTCCACTTTGAACATAGTGTGATAAATTAGTGTATTCCTGGAAATAAGTGTTGTTTCACCAGGGTCCATATATGTACACTAGTGGTCAAAAGTTTGGAATAATTAAGAAGTCTGTTATGTTTATCAAGGCTGCATTTATTTGATGAAAATACAATGCAAAACAGTAAAATTGTGAACTATTATTACAATAGTGTCTTTTTGATCAAATACATGCAGCCTTGGTCTTCCAAAAACATTAAAAAAATCTTAATCATTCCAAATATTTGACCGGTATGCATATGCATTTAAAGTGCATGTAAACACAATTCACCTAAATAGAAAATAAAGCAACTTACCTTCCACATCCAGAGTCCCCTGGCTTGACCTGAGCCCAGCAATAGCCGTATAGACTCCCTTGTCCTCTTTTGTACAATTTTTCACTGCTAGTTTGTGGACTTGCTTGTCTTCTGACACGGCAATGTCATATTTTTCCCCATGCTCAACAGAGATGTCATTAGCACACCAGGTGATTTGGGGTACAGGGTCCGATAAGGCACATTCAAACACCGCATCCTGCCCCTCAATTACTTTAGTGTCTTTCAGTGTGGTATTTAACTCCACATCAGGCACTGGAGGCACAAAACAATTCTTGAACATTTATGGATTTTATGAAAAACCAAATTTTCACTGCACAACTTCACTAGCCTGTTCTTTAACCTTCAAATAAGGCATGTTGCCTAATAGCAATACTGTGACATTTAATATAATAATTAGTTACTTCTAATATCTTAAACAAACAAACAAACAAACATAAAAAGCATTGATATTATAACTACTTACACACTAGGGAAGTTGAGAACATGTTCACCTCCTCTACATCCACTTGATATAACCCAGCATCTTCTGGGCCAACATCTCTAATGCTGAACAAGTATGTTTCACCAAATTTCTGCATATTATGTTTTGTGTCCTCATCAGTTCCATCTCCATAGTCAAGCATTTCCCCATCCTGGTAATAGTAAATTGAAGTTCATTACTCTCAAAGCAGTATTGTTGATGACACTGAGGCTATTTAAGTGAGGGCACTTACTTTGAAGAGAAGGATTTTGCTGTTAGGATCCTTTAATTTCATGTCGAGTTCAAATTCCGCTGTGCCATCCATTTTTACCTCGATCTGTTTCAAGCTGTGGATTTTCTCAACATACTTGAAGACAGAAAAATCAAGAGTGGAGATTTTTCATACTGTATGTGTATAAAAAACAGTGGTGCAGAAATTAGTATGATACTCAAAGCAAACAAGACCTTTGACTGTTCTGCCTCTCTTTCCTTTTTCTTCTGGTTAAGTTTTCTCAGCATCCACCTGAAGTCGGTGACTCCAAATTCCTGACAAATCCGTTCATAATCTTTCCTGGGTGCACTTAGTAACACCTCCCAGAACCTCGGATCGATTTCTCCTTCATTCCATTGTTTTTCTTTTCTCTTCCCAACCCTAAATGTATTTAGTATGGTTACAGATCAGACTGCTTGTTTTGGTTACTTAGAAATGTCCTATCATTATGGTTTTCTATGTCTCTATACAAGTAAATACTAACATATAAAAGGTATGGTGAAGGTAAATATATGATGCAATGATACGTTACGTTTTCTTCAGCATTTTTCTGAACTCATCAGGGTCACTTTTGGGGGCTGACATTTTTTTAAAGACATTTTTAAAAGTTATTTTGACACTCTGAATGCTCTTTAACAATCATAAGATTTTCCAATACATTTTATTTCATTTGAGGTGTCATTATCTTTGAGTTACATAAATACCTGGCGCTCTTTTCTTGAACCCAACTGAAAAGAAGAGAAACAGATTGATTTAGGCCTATATGTGATATAGCATTTTTATTTTAATCAGTAATAGATCAATATATTCAAATGCACTTTATGAATTTCCTACCCTCAATGACATTCAGTGCAGCAGTACAAACCGCCTTTCCAAATGGATTTATAGCAAAACATTTGTATGTGTCTGCTTGATCCGAATCTACATTTGGTATCTGTAGAACGGAAACAAAAGCCATATCAAATGTTGTTAAAGAAAAACAAAACACAGGTAGATTATAAATAAATTACATTTAAAAAAAAGGCACTGTTCCAGTTTGTCTATAGTGTGTTAGAAAAGTTCTGAAAAATTATGATGTGTGTTATTTTAAAAGAATGCCATGCAGTGACAAATTAGTATAAAGTGTCACCATAGCAAACAGATATGATTAACTCTACCAGGTGCATTTATTTTTCTTGTTACACAGACAGACTTTTGTTATTGTCACTGAGAACATTATAAGGTCTTATCCCTGATAAAGGGCTGATATGTGTAAATAAAGAATATGAAAAACTATCTACCAGCCACCTGTCCCATGCCACCTTGTGAATATCTCTTCACGAGATAGTAAAATTCAAGCAATATGCCCTATGTAGAAATATGTTTCATAACGACATGGGAAGTGCTATATACATGTATATAGAATACCATTTTACTGTGTTGATGTCTAGTCAGTAACTAAACCAATGAACCAATAAAGATATATTAGGAGGTGATATTATACATTTTGCACGTAAAGTAACACAAGACTGGCATAAATTCTTTTTAACGCCATGATAAGGTACATGATCCTTACCAATCATTTTACAAGCATTTTACCCCTGGTTTTGATAGGTCACATACCTCATAAATTTATCAGAGATGTGCTACAAGTGCAATTATGCTTTAGCTTAGGAGAGCAAATCATACTGAATTATTATAATAACAGAATATGAGGAGAACTGCTGTATAACTATTTACGTGAAAAAGTAAAGCACCTTCACTGATAAGTCACTCAACATACAAGCAGAATACTATGGTTAAAACATCAGTGTGTTTTAGTAGAGCACTACAGAACCTTTGCTACGTTAAGTTCTTAGAAAACGATTTTATTCAGCCGGACTTTGGCAATCATATGTAAGAAAGCACTTTAACATTATTTGATAGCATCTTAAACACTTTAGTGCAATCTGAGCATCACAACATACCATCTGGAATCCTATATTTAATATGCATCAATACTTAGAATCAGGTCTGTGGTTGGGTATCTTCACATACAGGCTACAAGTCAAACCTGAAAACTGTTAGCTTTCAGATTGCTTTCTATATTATTTACTAATAAAGATTAATGTGTAATATTGTATATTTCAAGGTTCTCATCTGGAAAAAAATGAAGTGAAAGAAGAAGGAAGGAGAAGCAACTCACCTTCACGTGTAGCTAACTTGCTCTGTCAACACAACCGTGTTTGACTCCCACAATTTATTGCAGTCTCTCCATTTTGTTCTGCAATAAAACAGTAGTGGGCCAAATTGAAACCTCTCAAGCACAATTTATCAGAGATGTGCTACAAGTGCAATTATGCTTTAGCTTAGGAGAGCAAATCATACTGAATTATTATAATAACAGAATATGAGGAGAACTGCTGTATAACTATTTACGTGAAAAAGTAAAGCACCTTCACTGATAAGCCACTCAACATACAAGCAGAATACTACGGTTAAAACATCAGTGTGTTTTAGTAGAGCACTACAGAACCTTTGCTACATTAAGTTCTTAGAAAACGATTTTATTCAGCCTGACTTTGGCAATCACATGTAAGAAAGCACTTTAACATTATTTGATAGCATCTTAAACACTTTAGTGCAATCTGAGCATCACAACATACCATCTGGAATCCTATATTTAATATGCATCAATACTTAGAATCAGGTCTGTGGTTGGTTATCTTCTCATATAGGCTACAAGTTGAACCTGAAAACTGATAGCTTTCAGATTGCTTTCTATATTATTTACTAATAAAGATTAATGTGTAATATTGTATATTTCAAGGTTCTCATCTGGAAAAAAATGCAGACCATCATAGAAGGAGCACTGGGTTCTCCAGGCCCAGACATATTAATGGCTGTTACTCTGAACTCATACTCTGACCCCACTGACACATCCTTCACTGCATATTTCAGATCTGTAAGAGGTAGAGACCACTTAGTTGTATTGTGAGGTTAGGTGCTTGCTAATGGTTATTTATTGATTTGTCATAGCAGTTGTTTTTCAGACTCAACATTTAGTAGAGCTGGAAGTCAGTGCCTTTCATTCAGTGTGGAGTTTGATATAAAAAAATACCTTGGATAGGGTCCTTAACTGGGTTCAGAGTCACCCACTGGTTTGTATCTGTTTTGCGTTTCTCTAGCTGGTAGCCCAAGATTTTATTCCCTCCATCTTTCTCTGGTGGGGTCCATGTTAGGTTTATACAGTTTTTGAATGCACTGACCACCTTTGGCGTGCCTGGTGGACCAGGGAACACTGCCAACACATAGGTGATATAAATATTAGATGACTTCAGTACTTCTCATATGACACATTTAGCAGTAAACACTTAAGAAGTTTACTTAAAGAGCCAGCCATGATTTTTTCAGTCTCCATCGCTTCACTGATGCCCTCAAGATTCTCAGCGTAGATGCTATAGATGTACCTCTTACCAAGAGACACGTTTCTGTCTCTGAAGGTTAGATGGTTAGCTGAAATATCCCCAACCCTTTTCCAGGTATTCTGCCCGACCTGTTGACGCTCAATTATGTAGTTGGTTAATTCTGAGCCACCATCATCCTTCGGAGGATTCCATTTCAATTCAAG